CATTCCCAAAGAACGTCTGGGGATCAAGGGTCGCTGTCAAACACCTTGCTCCAGGCGAGGGGTTTCTGCCCCCCTCAGAGGACCCCCTCCCGCAGGGACCCCAGGACTCCCCCCTACCCAGTTGCTGCCCTGCTGGAAGAAGGGTTTCCAGCTGTAGGGGCTGTCTCCGTAGAGCACGATGTAGCGTGTCAGCCAGTCATAGGTGTTGAAGGTTCCCTGCGTGGCCACCGCGTTGATCCGGTGCTTTTGCATCAGGTCGATCTGGAGCCAGGGCTGCTTGTCCCGGGGATCGGGGGACCAGCCGCTGGTGCCTGCGGGGGAGCTGTTCAGCTGACCCCACAGCTCTGCACCCAGTGGCTCCCAGCTGAGCGGGGGCTGCTTGCTCGGCCCCACCCCAGCACCCCACTGGATTCCTCAGCCCTTGCCGAGGACACCCTCGGCCCACGTGCCCCGCCCAACCTGGGTCCCGATCCTGCAGGGGGACTCACTGTGCAGCCGGGCAAAGCTGGGCGAGTAGAAGATGTTGTATCTGGAGGAGGCACCGATGGAGTAGGAGTAAAGGGGAGCGACGAGCTCATCGTAGCATGGTCCTGTGGGGAGAGTGGGGCTGGGGGCGTGCTTGGGGCACTGAGCTGGGCAGTGCCCCTGTGGAAGCTCTCCCGACCCGGCCCTGCAGACCCTGAGGGCTCTGGGGACCCCTGCAGACACTGTGGGCTCTGGGGACCCTGCTGCCTCTGAGGGCTCTGGGGACCCCGCTGCCCCCTTGGGCCGGCGGCGCGGCGGGCCCGCTCCGCTCTCCCCTCCCACTGCAGCGGAGCTGACACACCTCTGCGGGCCCCGGCGCCCGCACCAGACGCCTCTGCACTGACGTGGGCGACAGGACCCCCCATCCCGCCCTGCCCCGCCCTGCCGGGTCACAGTCCCTCGTGGGAGCCCAGGGGGTCCCGTGCAAACCCTCGCGGCACCGGCAAAAGACGCTCTGACGGGGTCGCAGTCCCGAACGCCTCACAGGGTCCCTCCCCCCAGCCGTGTCGGACGAAGCCCGGGGAGTCCACGAGCACCCCCAGCTCTCACTGCAAGGCCCGTGCTCCATCCCCCCCCCGTCCACCGCCCCCCATCCCACAGCCCCCCCCCTCCATCCCTTTTCACCCCGACCCTGGGGAAAGGGGCCAAGGGCCCTGGCTCAGGGGGCCGCAGGGAACTGCCCAGTGCGGTCAGGACCTCGCCGATCCCCGTGCCCAAGCAGATGCCCCAAGCCCGGTACTGGGCCCGGCCCGGTTCAGCCCCGCGGCGGGGTCGGCCCGGCGGGCGGCGGCGCTGGCCGAGCCCGGTCGGTCCGGCGGGGCGCCCCCACTCGCCTCGGCATCCCCGGGCATCCCGGATCCTCGGGGCATCCCGGCTCCCCCGGTCCCCGGAGGCTGCGGGCGGGCGCGGTTCCGCCGGCGGTGGCGGGGCTGCTGGGGGCCGCCCCGGGCGGGGCGGGCAGGGGGAGAACCCGGACGCCCGTGTCCGGCGGTGACCTTGAGGACGATGCGGACCGGGGCAGTAGAGGAAACCGAGGGATGCCCGGGGGAGAGCGGGGGATGGTCGTGAGAGCGGGGTTGCGGGGGCGGCTCAGGAATGCGGGGCCGGGGTGGCAGGCGCGGTCCCGCAGTGCGGAGCGGCCGCTCCCGGGACTGCGGCTCCACTTACGTGCGAGGCAGCCGGGGCCGGGGCGCAGGAAGCCGACGCAGGCGGCGAGCAGGAGCCCGAGGAGGCGGCGGGCGCCCATGCTGAGCGCCCCGAGCGCCCTCGACGCCGCCGCTCCCGGTGCTGCAGCCGCACGGCGGAACGGGGCCGGCGGCTCCGCCCATGGGGCGGGGGGAGAGGCCGGGACCGGACCGGGGGGGCGCGGGGGCCGGGCTTGGCGCAGCGCGGAGCCCCGGCCCCCCTCGCCGCACCCCCTCGCAATGCTCCAGCCGGCCGCCCGATTCCCCCGGTCCTCGGCCCCGCGGGGCGCCGGCCGCCTCGGGCTGCACCGGGACACGGCTCGCGGCCTCGGTGGGCTCGTGGGGGGGTGCACGGACATAGCGAGGCCGTGCAGGAACTCCCCTGGCATCCCCGGGAGGTTCCTCTGCAGCGCCTGGCCCTTGTCGAGCTCCGAGCCCCCCCCCAGCCCTTATTCCCTTGCAGCCCTGGTCCGGAAGGGGGGATCGGAGCGGTGCCCGCAGCCCCCCCGCAGCAGATGTGGCGGCTGTTTGTAATCAAGCCACAGATTAAGGCCTTCAGGTCTCGGGGTCGCCGCTCTCTCCAGTGGTGCAGAAGAAGGGATTTAGCCGGTGTCTGCTCCCAAACAATCCCCAGATGCCCACAGAGGGGCCGGGGGGGCTGGCGACTGCCTGCCCTACATACACCTACAAACCCTCTGTGTCCCGTGTCCCCTGGCCCCTCAGGAGCAGGAGACCCACTCTCCCAGGAGCCCTGAGCAGCTCCGAGGGACGAGGATGCCCCAGCAGCCGCTGGGTCCATGCTGGGTCTGGGCACTGGGCAGAGCTCGGCAGGGCAGCTCCACACCACTGGCTTTCAGCAGGGCAGCACAGCCATGACCTGCGGGTACCCAGTGCTGGGGCTCCTTCCTGCCCAGGCAGAGTCGAGACCTGGGCTGGGGAGTGAAAGAGAGAACAGAAAGCCCCAGGTGTGGCAGGGATGATGTGGGACAACCAATGGTGCACCGAGAGTTCTGCTACCGGGAGCTGGAACCATGTGCCGGGGTCATTAGCACCTGCCCTCCTGTCCCCCAGACCCCAGCAGTGCTTTCGGGTCCATCCCCAGGAAAGGCACAGCCCACCTGGCCTTATCCTGACACCCCAGGGTGCTACCTGCTCTGGCCACAGCCCCCATGTCCTCTCCTTGTGCTGGGTCAGCTCTGTGACAGCCCCAGCAGGGACATGTGGAGTCCCTGATGTGCTGTAGGGCCAGCATTGGCCCTGGGGCTCTCCTCCCTCCCCTTCCCCCAGGATGCAGGGTGCAGGATGGCACCTCCTGAGACAGCACTGGGCAGAGGTCTGCAGCCAACATCCCTGCCCTGCAGAAAGAGCAGGGGAGGGGAAATGACCCTCCAGCAAAGAGCTCTGGGGAACCCCCAGGGACTGGAGGCCTCTGCCCAGTCACTCTCCAGCCAGGGCACAGCAGCTCCACAGCCCCACAGCTAGTGCCGGGGACCCCACACTCGTCTGGAGGCAGCAGGAGGGCCGAGGGCAGAGCTGGGATAAGCCGCAGCAAAGACTGCTGTAGCGGGGGAGAAAGGGGGATTGAGGGATTACTGTAGCAAACGCCAAACGGCCGGGAGCCTGTTAAAGCTGGGGATCAATTTGCTCCCCCCTGGGAAGAGGAAAGTGGGGGCTCTGCCCCACAGGAACTAATCTGCTTCTTAATGAGGAGCTGGGAATTTTGTTGTCAACAACCAGCAACATGCCTCCCCAGAGCCACAAGGGTGCAGGGGCAGAGGGGCCTGGGGTTGCAGGGATGCAGAGCACAGGAGTATAGGGCCAGGCTGGGACCCCTGGGTGGGAGGTACAGCCTGCACCAGCAGCCACCCCAGCTCCTGGAACCATCATGTTTCCCATCAGGATGAGATGATCCTAGACCAGACATGGCTCTGCTGATCCCACTTGAGCAGCATCCTTCCTATGCCCAGCTCAGTGCCAGCCCACAGCAGCACACACTTCATTTCTTGGCCCTGTTCCCTCCAGCCTTCCCTCCACACCTGCAGAGGAGCCACCAACAGCCCCAGGGTGGGCTGGGGTCTCCTGCACATGCTGTGTGCCCTTGGCCAGACGCCGTTCCCCTGGCTGGGTGCTCCCAGGCTTGGCCCACAGTCCTGCATGACAGGAACTGAGTGGAGCTGCTATTTCTGTCCTTAGCATGCAGATGTAAAAGGTGCACAAAATAAAAGATTCAGGACAGGCTCCGGAGTGGAACCACCTCACCTTCCTCCTTGGGGCTGGGCCTGTGCTCTGCACTGTTTTCGGTATCAGAAGAGGCACGTGGTCAGACCACAGGTTACAGAGTGCTGAGACATCAGCAGCTCCAGACCCACCGGCCACGGGAAAGGTCCTGCTGCGCAATGCAGAAACAGGTGAGAGGCTGTGGGGTGAGGGGTTTGCTGGGGGCAGGAACCCCCTCACTGTCTTTTCTTATGTTTTTTAGATAGTTTTCTTGTGAATCCTGCGGGTTTGGGATGAAAGGCAAAACCTTGTGGAATCCGGGCAGTACCTGGTGTTCCAGGTCACTGGGGCCCAGAGCAGGGAAGGAGCTGGGAGAGCTGCTGGAGAGTTAACCCTCCCTGACACTGCGTTCAGATCCCACCTGTGGCCCCAGAGTGGGTGGGGGGGCTCAGGCCCAACAGCCTGGACTTGCTGACATGGGCCAGAGTGAAATTGCTGCTCGAGTCAGAGCTATGTTGGATCCTGACATCCATGGCAGTGGAGTCCCGGCTCTTCAGTGCCAGGCTGCAGTGCTGTCCTGCTGCCCCAGAGCAGGGCTGAGCAGCTGGGAGCTGGGAGCACTGTGCGGAGCTGCCTGCAACCTCTGTGAGGCGGTGGAATGCCCTGGGACCTCCCTGTCTGGGGCCGGGGCCAGGGAGTGTGGGGCTGTGTCTGCACTGGGATCCCCAGGGTGGTGCACGGGTGGGTGGCTGCTTTGGCCACCCGGGGATGCTGGTGTGAAGTCCCAAGACTCGACTGCCCAGGGGAGCCAGAGCTGTAGGCTGGGTGCTGATCCCCAGGGGATGCTGGAGCAGCTCCCCAGGCAGGTGCAGGGTTAATCTGTGGGACGTGGTGCTGTGCTGGGGACGCCACAGCCGGGGTCACGTCCCTCCACCAGCTCTGCATCGCAGGAGGCTGCTCGGGAAGTGTGCGGTTGCTCTTGCAATGACTGAGCATGGTGAACCTCCCTCTGCTGCGGGGTGGGTGTGAGACAGAAACCACCCTGCACGTGGGGCTGGGGACTGGGGCTGTGGCATGCCCGGGCTCCCCGCGCTGGGGCTGGGTGGAGAAGGGCTGCCCTGGGCGTGGTGCTGCACCCTGTGGCCAGGCTGCCACCACCGAGCCCTCCTCATTCAGTCTCCTTCTGTGCAGGCAACCCCCAGCCCCATCTCAACGGAGCTAATGGCCACCACCGAGTTCTACTGGGAGGACGAGTACTCGGGGGAGGCCGGCATGCTGCCCGAGCTCTGCGAGAAGCAGGAAGTGCAGGGCTTTGCCCGCACCTTCCAGCCTGTCGTCTACCTGCTGCTCTCACTGCTGGGCACAGTCGGGAACGGGCTGGTGCTGCTCACACACACCCGCTACCGCCGGGCACACAGCGTCACTGACGTCTGCCTCCTGCACCTCGCCCTGTCTGACCTCCTGCTGCTCCTGACGCTGCCCTTTGCCGTCACTGACACGCTGCAGGGCTGGTCCCCGGGTACGGCCGCCTGCAAGGCGCTGCAGGGTCTCTACGCCCTCAACTTCTACAGCGGCTTCCTCTTCCTCACCTGCATCAGCGTGGACCGCTACGTGGTCATTGTGCAGGTGCCGGCCGCCTGCCGCCTGCGCCCGAGGGCTCGCCGGCACGGCTGGCTGACAGCGGGGCTGGCCTGGCTGCTGGCCACGCTGCTGGCACTGCCCCAGTTCATCTACAGCCAGGCAGAGCAACACCAGGACCTCCGGCTCTGCCGGGTCGTCTTCCCCCATGTGGTCTCACGGGTGGCCCGGGGGGCCACCAACCTGGTGCAGGTGGTGCTTGGCTTCGTGGTGCCCTTCCTGGTGATGGCGAGCTGCTACACGGCTGTGGCACGGACGCTGCTGGCGGCCCGTGGTGCCCAGCCCCACCGGGCACTGCGAGTGCTGCTGGCCCTCGTGCTGGTGTTCGTGGCCCTGCAGCTGCCCCACAGCCTGATGGTGCTGCTGGACGCGGCCGAGCTGCTGGCCAGCTGGGAGGTGAGCTGTGCCCAGAGCCGCCGCAAGGACCTGGCGCTGCTGGTCACGGGCGGGCTGGCGTACCTGCGCTGCTGCCTCAACCCGCTGCTCTATGCCTTCCTGGGCCAGCGCTTCCGTCGGGAGCTGTGGCTGCTCGCCAGCGATGCCGGCTGCGTGGGGCCCCTCGAGCCGCGCTGTCCCGGCTGTCCCAGTCCCCGCCGGCGGACATCGCTCTCCACATACCTGGATGTGGTGTAGAGGCACAGTGCCTGCAGCCACGGCAGGAGCCAGCGCCCCGGGGCTCGGCCCCTCCATGACTCCTCGGGGAGAGCCCTGCCCATACATGGGCTTGCCCCGGCGAGCAGCCTGGCACAGGCAGCGCTAGACAATCCGCACGGTGATTGCACACTCGTGGACAGAGGGAAGAGCAGCTCCACAGCACCCACATGTCCTGAGAGTGCCTTCAGTGCCCGGTGACCCGCCGGGGCAGGGGTCCCCACAATGTCACACGTGCTCCCGGGGAACCCTGCAATGTCACGCGTGTTCTGGGGGACCATCTAATATCACGCGTGCTCCGGGGGGGGGCCATGCAATATCATGTGTGCTCAGGGGGTCCGTGCGATGCCGGTGAGCTGAGTCGATGAGTGCAACAGCGGGGCCAGGCAGGCAGCTGGTTCCCACTCTCACAATAAACCTCAGTCGAGTCCCGGTGGGCGAGCGCCATCTCCGTCCCGGCCGGGGCTGCCCCGCGGGCTCTTGCGGGACAGGAGCTCGGGGCCGGGTGGCAGCCCTGTGGCCACCGGCGCTGGCGGGCGATGCCTGCAGGAGGCAGCAGAACCTCGCGCTTCCTGCCCGCTCGCTGCCCGCCCTCTGCCTGCTCGCTGCCCGTCCCCAGGGCCGGAGGGGCAGAGACCCCCCGGAAAAACCCGCCCTGGGCCCGACTGGAAATCCCCTCCTGGGCGGGGGCAGAGGGACGTACCTCTCCCCTTCTCACTCCCCCCACGAAGTCCTGCGCCCCAGCACATCCCGGCCCGGCGGCTCCCCGGGGCAAGGGTTGTGCGCTGGGGCTGGCCCTGCCAGACGCCCCCGGGCCGGCACATGACTAGCGGCTCATGGCCACGGGCCGGCAGCACCGGGGCCGTGCGGTGCCTCATGCTCCGGGCTTGGCTGAAGAAGCGCTCCGGGGTGCCGGAAGCAGCACCGGGCCTGGCTCTGGTGCAGCCTCTCGTGGGATCTCCCAGCGGAGCTGGGCATGCAGGGAAACACCTTCCTGGGGCTGGAAGCTGCTTCATGCTCATCCCCTGCTCTGCTTGGCATTAACCCAGCACTCGACTGGAAGAAGGCATCCCAGAACCTTCACCTACTGCTGGGGCAGAAATGTGGTTACTGCTGACTCAGCAGAGGCAGAGCCGTGGTGATGGTGATCCCCTCAGCCGGTGGGGAGCAAGGGCCAGATCGGGCAGTACCCGACCAGGCGGCACAGCTGCCCCTGCTGCCCTCCCAGCCTGTGGCCTCGGGTGGTCCCGACCCCGTTCTCTGCTGTCCCCATGGCTGGCAGGCTCTGCCCAGTGCCCGTTGCCGTCCCGGCTGCGTGGCCGGCCCCACAGCGGGGCTCAGCCCCCCGCACAGCCCGGCGCAGGCTGCGTGGGAGGTGAACTGGCAGCCGGCGCTTCCTGCCTGCGCATCCCAGCACCCGGGTTCCCAGGGATGACGGTGACCCAACAGCTGTAGCAAAACCAGAGCCTTAACCCCTTCTGGGGCTCCGCGAGCAGGGCCAGGGCCCGGGCGCTGCCATGGCACCCAAGGCTCGAGGGGCCGAAGGGTCCAGGGCTG